CTATATTAAATTTCACATGTAAAATTTTGAAAAATTTGAATGCTCAATCTACCTGGATTGTTTTTTTCCTACAAAGTCAGTAGACAGGCTGATTCAATGGTTGCTAATATAGCATTTAAAATATGGTAATTTATGCATGTTCATTGGCTTATACGTTTGTATTGCATCTGTCTACCTTAATAAATGTGTTGCATAAGAGACTTTTTACGTAGATGCATGGCTAATCTTCTTTAAGGAAAGTGTCATCCAAAACCACTTTTAGATACAATCAGTGCACTTTTCATTTCCATTAATATTAAATAGAAAATTTTTGTCAGGGCAACAAGCCCTGGGATTTCTCATTGTTTTCCTGGAGGCTGTTATCACTTGATGGCCAGGCTATACTCACTGATTTTCACCTGCGACAGTTGATTGAAGCAGATCAGTTTTACTTCGTGAGATTTGTTGGGGACAATTTTCAACTTCTCTACCTCATTTTAAAAAATTCATTTAACTTTGTTGATATGATTTGTACTAGAGGGATGTTTTTTGCTTAATTTTGACAAAGCTATCAACTTTGTCATGAAAGCTTTGTATATTTTAGACAGATTCCCAGCAGTTTGAATAGTTCATCATATCATCTTCATGTTAGCTAAATCTCTATCCCAAAATTATTGCCAATACCATTTGAATGTTAGATATAAATTCGTGCTACTATGGTTTGGGTCATAGACCTAAACAGATTCTGCTCTTTTCCTCCACTTGTAATATTTCAGTGGGTTGAGTTGGATGGCAAGAATTTATATCAAAGCTGAATACATAGTAGATGGCAAGCTGAAGTGACCTGAGGTCATTTTGGTTTACTGAAGGTGATTTTGATTATTTATTCTTGTACTCATTTTTTGCCTGTGGCCTGTAATCTTCCCTTGTCAAGTCTAAGATTAATACTGTTCTAGAGGAGGTATTTCAGATTAAATATGGAGCTTTGAACAGTTAGTTGTAGGGAATCTGTACTGTTGATTCAGTTTTTTTGAAATTACTAAATGAGAATTTATTTAGGGGATAAGATATTTGTAGGCTTGCATTCAATATTGCAGTCTGTAATAAACCTACTCATTAAGGGATTACTATGTAACAAACAAATCTCCTACATAGTTCCTTTTATTTTTGCTGGTTATTATAGGTTGTCTAGTTTCAAAATCATAAGTATATTATTTTAGTTTTGCAGGTTCTTAGTAATGGCTGCATAGCAGAAGACCTCATCATCATTGATTAGTAGACATTTCTGTGTTTTAAAACTGTGACTGTTGTCATACAAAACTTTTCTGTGTTTGGAGAATTTTCCTCTCATTATATACTCAAGCTATAGTTCATGTGCCTAACATAGCTGTGTAGCAAACCACTTCAAAATGTAGTGACTTAAAATCAGTTATTTTGCTCACTAATCTGTCATTTGGACAAGGTTGCTTTTGTCGGAGAAGACTGAGTAGGGTTGGAGAATAAATTTACCAGATGTTTCATTCATAGGACTGGTTAGGTGGTGCTGGCCATTGTCTGGGAACTCAAAAGCGATGTCGACTGGGAGCTTGGCCCTGTCCCTCTGTTTCCTAAGGGCTCTTGGCCTCTTTAGAGTCTCTGGCTTATATCCAGGGCCATGTCCCAGCAGACCCTGGCAGAAGCTGCAAGGTCTGTTCAGGCCCGACTTTGGAAGTGGTGCTGTGTCCCTTCTGTCGACCAGGTCCCTCCCCCTGGTGCCACTAATGCTTGTCATGGAAGAAGGTAAAACAGGATGAGGTACACCTGCTTGCTTTACTACAATTATTACTTACTAAACAAATATCTTATTTGGGGATGTTAAGGTAGTTTCTGGTTTTTGTTTCTGTCTTAAAAACTATACAATCATGAGCACTCTTGCACATGCAATTCATTTGTTCATCAGTTTTGGGGAAACATTTCTTGGGATATAACAGCTGTGTCAGAAGAAACCACCTTTAAGGCTTTGGGGGAAAAACTTACATCTTTGCCAGCTGAAATACTTATTTTCATACCAGCTGTATTTAAAATTTATGCATTTACTCCTGGCCATGCTAACACTGGCTGCCTTCCATCTCCATCTTTGCTAGTCTGCTTTGCAATAAAATGGATTTGTATTCTTCCTAAATTTTCATTTCTTTGACTACTAGTGCAGGTACCTTATCAATTTGCTTATAGGCAGTTTCAGATTCTTTAACAGTTGTTTGCTTATCTGTGTAATGTTTTAAACTGGAGCATTCATAAATTTTTTATTGGCTAAAGCTATTTATACATAAAGATATTGATTCTTTGCCAAAGGTTCAAATTCTTTCCCCAGGGTTATGTATTTATTTTGACAGAGATTCAGTAGCATAATATTGTTTTCTTCCCCTTACGAAAAATTTTAGAGACTCATTTGGAGGCTCCGTAGTGTAAGTAGTTAAACAAGGATATCATTAAATACATGGTCTATTCTTTATCTTTTTATTTGCTCACATCTTAAATATACTTGTGATTGTTTCCCTCTTATTATTCCATTGCTTTTTTCTGTACAATTTTGAAAAATGTAATTCTTGCAGTATATGCTTCATGATATTTTTCAGTAACTAGTGGACCAATGCCTTCAATCATTATACCACACCTATGAAATATATAACTATCTCCTTTATTTTAAAGTAGGAGAAACTGATTCACAGAGAGGCTATTTTTTCAAGGATATGGCATTTTTACTGAGATTTTCCTGACTCCAGATTCCACATTTTTCACCAACATGTCATGCTGCCATTCCATTTTTTTCAAATGTTCTGTTATCACTCAATAAAAGTCTGTAGTTTTCTTTCTGTAAGTTATACATTTTTAATTTTTTAAAAATGGTTTGTATTTTTGTTCTTTATCAATGCAATTTTTGTATAGTATTTACAATCTTTATTTTATCTAGGAAATTACTAGGCATTAGAACAAAGAGGAAGCACTAGAATTGTGTTTCGATATAATTTTTTAGGTTAATTTATAAGTGCTCAATCAATGTTGAGAAGAGTTTTTCCCTTTTTGTTTGAATTTGCCTGCTACATTTTTAAAATTTTAAAGTTTGTGCATTGCAGTTCAGTTTTTCTGGAGTACAGTTCTACGTGGATTAACATATGTTAGACTATACAAAACAATACCAACATCAAAAGATGATGATGTGCCACTTCATTATTAAGCAAATCAATTCTCACCACCATCTCTGATGTTTTCTCTACTTAACAGTTTTTACCTTTGCCAGAGTGTCATATAAATGGGATAGTAATAATAGTAATCTTTGAGATGGGTTTCTTTCACTTGTAATGTGGTTGAAATTCATCTGTATTGTATGTATCAATAGTTCATTCCTTTTGTATTCCCGAATATTATTCCTTTATGTGAATTTGCCACAATTTTTTGACTATTTTGAATTATGTTGCTGTTGACTTTTATGTGTAAGTTTTTCTGTGGACATGCTTAGAAGTGTGATGGGTAGGTCATATATGGTAAGTGCTGGTTAATATTTTTATGAAATTGTCAAATTATTTTCCAGTGTAAGTATATATCATTTTGCATTCCTACCAGCAATAAATGTAGATTAGTTGCTCCACATACTTATTTTTCATTTTAGTCATTCTTATAATAGTTTCATTTTGACCTTAGTTTTCAATTTTCTAAATTAAATATAAAATAACTAACTTTTCATGCATTCATTTGACATCTGCATATGTTCTCAGATGAAATGCCTGCTTAAATATTTTGTCCACTAAATTTTTTTTCTTAGTATTGACTTTTGAGAGTTCTTTGTATATTGTAGAAACAAATGTTTTCTCACAGTATCTTCTTATACACCGGAGACATTTTAAGTTTGATGAAATTCACCTATTTTTGTATGGAACGTGGTTTTGGTATTTAAGAACTCTTCTAAAGTCAAAGATTTTCTCCTGTTTTGATAATTTCATAGTTTAATATTTTACACTCAATTTTTTATAATACCTTTTTAGATAAAAAAAAGATATGTTTTACAAGGGATAGACTGTTACTGATTTTTTGCATGTGGATATCTAATTAATCCAGCACCCTTTACTGAAAAGATTGAAAGATTGTCCTTTTTTTTAAAAAAAAAAAAAGATTTATTTATTTGTGCATACAGAACTGGGGTATAGGCCAGAGGTGCAGGGGCGGTGAGAGGATTCACCAGAGACAGAGTGGGGAGCAAAACAGGCAGATCGACGAATTACACTGCTGCGGGGAGCAGCGGGCGGTCAGAAGAGGTCTCGCACGCCATGTGGGTCAGCTCTTGGGCAAGCGGGAATAGAACTCACGCAGAAGTGTCTTTAGCCTCTTAATGCTGTGCTTTAGCCTGCTGCGCCATCAGGGAGTACCAAAAAACATTATTCTTTTTTCTAAGTTCCTTGTACTTTTACCATATTTATTTTAAATTTCTCTTTCCCTCATTGTGTGTATGTGAGTGTGTGTGTGAGAGAGAGAGATTGTGTGTGTGTGTGTGTGCATATTATCTACTTGCATACATGATGCTCCTTATTTCTAATTTCTTCACTGGATGTTTCCAAAAAACAAGCACCTCACATATATGTTGAAATTTGATCTCTGTGTGTTCAGGTTTGCTCATTAATTTACATGTAGTTGTGACTTCTAGTTTTAATTATCGCCACACTTCCATTTGGATAGTGAGAGGCAGACTTTGTTTTCTGACTGGCCTTTGTTTTCTGATTTGAACCCAACTTTGTGAGTTTGGGCATACTTCAAATTTTCAAGATATACAGATTATGTAGACTTCCTTTTTAAAACAGGGGTGTTGTTACCAACCTCTAATGACTTATATTCACGTTTAAATGAGATAGTCCATATTAAAAATTTAGTAAAAATAGTAGCTGATATTTGATTTCCTGCCATCTCTTTGGCAATTATAATCTCTTCATTTAGAGAGTTGAGGTCCCATTTATTTATTGTTTTCTCAGAAAAATGTTTAATGTCTTCCACAGGATTTCATCTCTACAATTATTCGTTTACTTGACAGTCCCTCAACTTCCATCAGAGCAAAAGCCTTCCTGGTTCTTTTATATATTTTGATTCATAATCATGAGATGCTCCTGCTTAGCTGCCAAGCAAGGTATGATTTTCTCTGGTTTCACCAAAAACTCCAGTTTGGTATCTGTTTTGTTAGTAGTAATTCTTGGCCTTCACATTTTCCTTGAGTTTTACATTTATTTATTTATTTTTTAAGATTTATTTATTTATGCTTACAGAACTGGGGTACAGGCCAGAGGTGTGGTGGGTGAGAGGATATAGCAGAGACAGAGTGGGGAGCAGAACAGGCTGACTAACGACGAAGCACACTGCTGAGGGGAGCAGCGGGCGGGTCAGGAGAGGTCTGCTTCGCCAGTTGGGTCAGCTCCCTGGTGGGGGATCGAACTCGTGCTGCAGTGCTTCTGAGAGCTTCATAATCCGGCGCTTTAACCCATTGTACCACCAAGGAGAGCCCAAGTTTTACATTTTACTTAGAACTTCATTGGGAAACACTGAGGACTTAGAGAACCAAAAGCAGGGTGGTGGGAATAGCTCGAAATTTTAGATCTGAGGGTAAAATGCAAAACAGGGTTTTAGAATGGACTCTGGCTTGCATCTTTTGAAGGAATTCCTGAACTGGTGCTTTGGTCAGATTTTTCATTATTGAAGGTTTCTAGAGTGAGTAACTGAAAGCCCTGAAGGTACAGACTAGTGAAGTACAGGAAGAGGCAGGCTCAGTCATTTATGAACTGGTCCTGGGTTGGGCAAGCCTTTTATTCTCTGCATTTTACCTCCTTCCTTTAGAAGGAGAAGCTTCCCTGACCTTCACCTAGCCTTTGCTTAGGCGTGACTGGTTGGCAGTGGAGTGACGTGCTAGTCTCAAGGCTCGCTCTCACAGAAGCCTACAAGAGACATTCAGATGCCTCCTGGTCATTAATGCATTCTATTGAAACCCAGAGGAACCTTGAGAATAGGGCTTAATGTCTATTATTTGATTTACTTATTGTAGAACACAGGGGAGGGCATAGATTTGTTGAGATTGACATATATTGTGGATTGACAAACTTTTTGTGTAAATAGAGCAAGTATCTTTGAATTTGTGAGTCAAGAGTCAAATTATGGATCCCATGTAGGTACACTTGACATGATAAAATATATTACTGATATTGTTACTGATAGAATTGAATAATTTTTTTCCCCTAGTACAGATCTACTAATGAGACAAATAGAGATCTTTTTGGGGATAGAAATAACCTTTTGTTTAGTTTGGGGTCAGAGTTAGTGTCCCCATTCATTCAACTGATGCGAATAGTCATGTTAGTGCTAATCTCTGATACAATTTTACATATCTTTGAAAATGTCTTTTTTATACAAATAGGTAGGTATACTGTAATATACTAGCATCAGTCCACGAGGAAGGGATTTTGACCAAGCCTCTTCATGACTTGGAAGGCATCTGTAGACTTCTGTGAGAGCCGTCCTTGAGATTAGCACGTCACTCCACTGCCAGCCAGTCATGCCTCGGTGAAGGCTAGGTGAAGCTCAGGGACTGTCATTCCACATTGTTTTATGTATAGTGTAATTAAATGCTGATGTTTCATATTGTTTGCCCATTTTTTTGGGTGTTTTATATGGGAGGTAAATCCTTCCCCTGTTAGTCTTCTAGGGCCTGAGGCAGAAGTTGTTTTCTTCTGCTCTCATCTGTTTCAGACCCACCACCGACTTCATTGCTTCTCTCCACCTCTCACCAGAATGGCTAATTTAATTTCTCAGTAACTGTTCTTGTATCATTGCTTGGACTCAAAGTCTGGCATCCATGTAGCAACCAGAGTATACCTTACGCAGTGTGGGTCAGCCTCGTTTCTTCCCTGCTCAGACTCTTAATAATATCCTGTCATGCTGAAATAATACTCGTGCTCTTTAGCATGGCCGCCGTTGCCCTCCTCCGTCTCATCCCTGTCCTCCTCCTCGCCCTTGTCTTCTCTGATGGGTACTTGTGCTCACTCCACTCTAGCCATATAATTTTTCTTGTTGCTTTTTGAGCACATTCAACCTGCTGTACTCACACCCAGTCTTTTCTCATTGCTGTTCGTTGTGTCTATAAAGCTCCTCCCCACAGGTGTGCTTGGCTGTCATCCTCAATCACCCAGATTTCCAAATAGTTCAAGGGTTACTATTCCCAGGAGCCATCCCATTGAAAACACTTTTCTCTCTCTCTTTTTTAAAGATGGATTTATTTATGCATACAGAACTGGGGAACAGTCCAGAGGTGTGGTGGGTGGAGGATTCACCAGGGCTGGCAGGACAACTGCATCATATGCGGGCACCCCCTACTCCCCCCAATCAGGGGTTGAACTGGTGCTGAAGCAGCTGCAGCTAGCTTTGTAGTGCTGCGCTTCAACCCACTGTGCCGTCAGGGAGGGCTTTTTTACCCTCAACTTCAGAACTGGAAATATCTAAACCATTCAGACCATTCGAACATTTAGTTTTTCCTGAAATCGCTGTGATTTCTGTGTATCTGAATGAATATTTAGAAACTCTAGTAGTGGTGGTGAGATTGGGCATGAAATGTGTAGATCCTAACACTGACTTCCACTCTGCTCTTGGGAGCAACACAACAGGGTGGGTGGTGGTGGTGGTGATGGTGCCCTAGAAGGTGAGTTTTCACCTTGTGGAAGCGCTAAGGGCGGGTCCCAGTCTTCGTGCAGGGCCAGCATTCCTGTTGTCAGGACTTGTGTTGCAGGACAGAAATGGGGATCAGTCCGTTTGAATCTGTAAGACAACAGGGAGATGACCCATTTTCTTGGCAGGGAAATGACCTCATTTTTTTGCACTTGAAGAAAGCAGCTCCCTTTCACCACCTTCCTCTTCATTGCAACACGTCCTTATCAGGTGCTGAGACGGGGAAGAATTCGCGAGTCAGCAATTGTTGTGGTCCATTGAGAGACGCAGCGCTTGGAGGAGGAAGAATGAGAAAAGCAGGCAGCTCTTACTGAGGCAGAACTAATGGAATACACAGAATTTTAAAAATCTAGTCATGGAAACTTTACGTAGAGGCTGTGGTTTGAAATTCAGGAGAAGAGCCGAAAGAGAACTACCTCTGCTGGGGACAGCATCAGTGCTTTGAAAGGCAGCATGAAAGAACAGATGGAAGCACACAGAGGCCGTCGCATGGACATGGAGAATTCATGGGAAAACCACAGGCAGGATGGTGTGGGGGTCTAGGAGCACTCACCATGCGAAGTGCCAGGAGGAACAGAAGGAGCCGAGGAATAGAAGGACGATTTCTAGCTGAAGCAATGACGGCTGTCATCCTCTGCTAGCTCGTGCTCCCTTCAGATGCTCTATGAAAGTACTGAGTATATGAGCAAGGGGCTGTGAAACTATGCGTAAAGGAAGTGAAAAGTCACAAACCCACAGAGCAGGGGGAAAGATGGCGCAAGCAGACGAGGGGTGTCATCTATCTTTGTTCTGGAATCTGGAAAGCTGGTAGGTGAATGCCTGCTAACTTAGCACATGGGAGATTTCTGAGACCCCCCTCACTGAAAAGGCCTTGCAATCTGATCCCTGCATATCTGGAAAGCTTAAGAAGTGGGAGTGCCAGGTCCATGTGAAGGCAGTGTTGAGAGAGAGTAGTGAGACTCGAAAGGAAGATTGGAGGGAACGCTGCATGGAGATTCAATTTCCAGGCCTCCTCCCCAATCTGGATCACCTGAGATGACTCCTCTTCCACTGCAGCAGGAGACTGGACATGTATTCTGGGCACTACAAACTGGTAAGGCTGTAACTGTAGTGTCTCCAGACACAGAAGAGGGAGATGAGGTGCCTTGTGAAAAATAAGAGGGTTGTGGGAGACTCAGCTTTCTCTCAAGGATGAGGGCCTTCCCTTCCTCCCTGCCGCTTTGCTTTTGACTTGCTGATTGTTGACAGTCTGGCTTGCAGGCCTTAGACCAGAGCTGGAGATTTGGAGACTCATCCTGGGGAAAATGATCCCCAGTAAAAACCCCATGAGGGCTGACATTTGAGTGTTCTACTGCAGCTAGGAAAATCTTGCATAATATTCCTGCAGTGAAAAAACGCTAAGCCCTACACATGCATACAAACTTTCCAACAATACTTGATTTAGTGCATCACATGTGATGTAAATGGACAGCCAAGAATCATCAGATATTCAAGAGGAAGCCTTTACATGGAATGAAGAAACTCAAACTCATCAGCAGATAAAAGTAACTTGTGGTAACAAGGACCAGAGTCTTGAAAGAGTGAACAAAAAGAGGAATGGCCTGTAATATTCAGAGCAAATGCTAAATTTTCCTTATAGAAATACACACTATTATTTCTCATCACAAGACAAACTACACTGAGATAACCACTTCTCATTATATGAACAGTGTCTGAAAACATATTCTTGGTCAGAGTGGAGAAAATGGCACTCTTATGTTGTGGTGGGGATCAAGATACTATGAAGAGGAATTTGACAATATCTAAAAAAATTAAATACACTTTTACTCTTTGGCCTAGCCATCTCACTGCTGGGATACAAGTCTAAATATCACTTAACACTTCTTAACAAGTCAGTGAAATGACAGATGCTTTAAGGTATTATTTGTTATGGTTAAATATCTTGTAACCCAAATACCCATTTGCAGGAGACTGGCTGGTGAATTGTGGGCATCCTTGCATTTTTTTTTTAATTTATAATATAATAGTTTATTTTTAAATCATTTTGTACATTTTTTTTTATCTCAGTTGTAATACCCATGGGTTTCCCATCACCAAGTCACCCATGTGCCATCACCATAGTCCAGTGCATTTCACTTCCCCCAACTGTTTTTGATCCCATTCCCCACTCCACCCCCATAAAATATCTCTGGTATATGGCTGTTCATTATTCTTATTATTTTCTTGCCTGGTCCATTATACTCCTGCTATGAGCGAAACCATCCGGTATTTTTCTTTTTCTTTCTGGTTCATCTCACTAAGCATGATCTTTTCCAGTTCCATCCATGTTGCTGCAAAAGTAATATTCCGTTGTGTATATGTATCACATCTTTTTAATCCAGTCATCTTACGTTTGGGCATTTGGGCCGGTTCCATGTTTTT